CTGCCAGAGACTGCAAAAGAAGCATTGTCGCTAAGACAAAAGATCATCATAGCTCGACAGGTGATACACTTTCTCCGCCACAGCATAAAACACCAAGTCGTTTCGAAATTCATGAAAAGAAAACGACTTCACGAAGTATGCGGACTGCCAGAGGATGACCACCGAGTGCTGGACATCGAATTGCAAGTACTACGCACCTGTCTACGAAGCAAACGAAACCAAATGTTCGCCAAGTGGAAGAAGTGCGAAAAGAAGGAAAACTATTGTGCTCAGCATTTGGAGGACCTTCTCCGCAAGGGAATAGTAGGTGGGTCAGTGCTGATTTGCAATTCTATTAGGTCTAATGCTAAAGCAACTTTGCAGAGAAAATTCAAAGACCTTTCGAGTAAATCGCATAACATGGTTTCAAGAGCATACAGAAACATCGCCAACGAAGATTAAGTCACTGCAGGATAAATAACGAGCAAAGAAATTCAAGGTTAAGCGTGCTAGGAGGCATGACTCTCCCTGATGGTGCGCGCTCGTTATTAGAATTGGGACCGAGTTTCTTACCATCTGAACCCATTTCTAAGATAACCTTGCGTAGGGTCGCATGTAGTTTACATGAACTTTAAGATAGACTCCACAAAAAAAAGCTAGAGATGAAACGCAAAATAGGTGTGAACAACACCAAGTGGGGCCCTACCAATAGCACCATTTCCTCAGCCGTTCTTTAGACAACAAGAGCCCAATAATGAAGTGGACGTTAAATTTCGGATGTTTACGAATGAAACGTTCAAAGCCCTTAATCACAACGCGCGAAAAGATACAGCTCTAACCTCACTGAAGTGCAAAAACGTGGTATGCGGGAGGTACGAGAGTTGGAAATACATAAGACTATCGGCTATTGATAAGGGTGGAGAGTTCGTTGTAATTCCTTATCAGTTAGATGCTGAGATAACGGAAAAACGCCTTGAAGTTGCTTCCCTTTATCGTCCGTCGTCTGAGAAAGAATTTGAAAGTCAATACCGAAAGTTAAACAACGAATGTGGTTAAAGTGACAAGAGCGGCTAGGTTAAAGCCATCAATTATGTCTCAACTCAAGGTTGACTTACCAACATATCCCGTCTTCTACTTACTTATCGAAACCCATCAGTTAATATCCAGCGATGATCTCGTGTCTACCGATCCATCGTTATTTAAGGTTAGACCTATCATTAGCTGCGTGGACGGGCCAACCGATAGAATAACGTGGTTAATAACCCTAACATTTACACTGTTGTCGAAGCACATTCCAGCCCATCTAACGAGCACCTAAATGTTCCTGGATCGTCCACGTAACGCGCGACCTAACAGCGCGTACGTGATGGGGTCCTTCGAAGCCACTGCCCTCTACACAAACGTGTCCAATGACTCCGCTATGCAAGCCATACTCGAACATCTTATAAAACACGAAGGAGTAATAAACATGCATGGCTTTACAATTCAGCATTTGATGATGCTCTTAAAGGAGTACCTAAACTGCTCAATCTTCGGATGATCCGGGAGGTATTACGCACAAATGAGAGGGTTAGAAAAGCAACAACGACTGGCACCAAGCCTTGCCATCACATTTATGTCTAAAGTGGAAGCGCCAGTAACCGATCTCCGGGCATTACTCTACTGTTAATATATAGATGACTGTTTTGCCATTTGTTCAGCACAAGAGAAAATTGACAGATGTTTCGAGTTGTTGAACACTCAGTCAGAGTATATTAAATTCACCCGAGAGAAACCAAAAGAAGACTGGCTTCCATTTCTGAACGTGCAAATTAACATATCAGAAAACTGCTACATTACGAAATGGTATCAAAAGCCAGGTAGTAAAAACATCTCGTTTCATTACCTCTTGTCTCACCCCTCTCACACGAAAAGGGCGCTTGTGAGAACATGTTTCAAACCGCTACCAGCGTATGCGCAGGAAGGGAGCAGAGAGAGGAGTCCCGGAACTTGGCGCGACAAATAGCCATTTTTAATGGCTACGAAACCGTAGCTCGGGATAGGTATAGAGGAAGCCACAGGCCCAGTGATAACTCTAGCGGCAATAAGGTTTCGTTTATCCTGCCCTTGATTTCAAATGAAGTTAATGCAGCTATAAAACGCTGTTTAAGAAGGGCCAGTATGGGGAATTCGGTAACGATAATTGAAATGCCACTGAGTAATCTAAGACGCCAGATAGTTGGTAACCGCCCATGCAACCATCTATGTGCTACCAAAATTGAATAATTTACCGCAGTGGTAGAGACTTTGATTGCATGAGTTGGGGTATAGTTTGTCCGATCTCTAGTAAAGCGTGCGAGGACGAATACATTGCCGACACGGGTAGGCCACTCTGCGTTCGTATAAAAGAACACCTAGCCGCCAAACGTAAACCAAACACTCCACTAGGCACGCATAGGACGCAGAGACATAACGGAGAAGATTTTGAAGTAAGGGTTACGATCCTCGGGCAAGAATCGAGAACACAAGCGCGCAAAACTCTAGAGGCATTCTGGATAAATTCCATGAATCCAAAAATGAACCGCAGGGAGGAATGCCTCATTATCACGCATGATATTGGGCAGTATATAAACCTGTTATTTTGATGAGATGGGCACAATACGATTCCGTGTGAACTCTGTGCGGTTGGCTCCACGTGACATATTTAGTGGAAAACTCCTAGAATGCGGTGAGTGTGCAAGGACTCTGTGTTCAGTGTGATTGAAATTTTCGTTCGGCACTTTCTCTATTTGGTTATGGAGGTGTTCGGCCGTGTAGATTGTAGTCAACTTGACCTTTCCAGACTCTGAGCAAGGCGAAATTCGCCGAAACGTCAGCTTGTACGTAAATAAAGAAATAAAGTAACACCTCGTGTTTGCTGAACAGAAGTAGAAAGAATTATTCAATCAATGCTGAGGTTAATAAAAAGTCGGACGTGTGAGTTACTAATCGTTTAATCCGTGAAAATGACGCTTTCATTGCCGCATAACGTTTTGTAGCATAGATATATGGATAACAGATTATCCAGTTTTCAATCGCATTTACCGAAGTTCAATAAAAGTTTTATTGCTGCCTATACTTCCACCTTTTTCAAACATTGCTGTGATTTTACAACAAAAGGCGGAACTTTGGCAGAAAGGAAAAGAGCAACTCCAGGTTAACACGATTTCTATTTCAGCGCATTTTTACTTCATCACACTGAAGAATCCGAAAAGCCTTTGCTCTAAGCTCGCCATCTTCGACAGTCGTATTAAATAACAGTCAACATCAGTACGTAAACTCGTACAGCTATTAAGGCTTTTTGCAAGGAAGAAGAACAACGATTAAAAGTTTTGAAAAAAATGGGAAAAACTCGAGAAAACTGGAAGACGCTTTGAGATAATGCTATAATAAAAAATTCAGCTAGGCTTTTCACATGATACTAGGATTAGGCTGTCGGTAACAGGTATTCTGTGATGTGTTTTTCCATGAATAGAGGGGTGAAAACGGCGAAACCGTGCAAATATTTTTACGTCAGGAAAAATTCATCGAACGCGCTTTAAGAGTTCATGTAAATTTCATCATGCCTAGGGGATTTGTGGGGGAGTACGGATACATAGGAAAGTAACGATTGAAAGTGTACTTTAGTGGATATGAGGAAGAACCAAGATTATAAAAGGACAAAACTCTCGGTGTTGATCAATCTCTGGGGGATGTACAGTGCATTCGACTTCATTAGGCATCGTTTGGAGGTGACTGAATGCATATTTCGCCTTTATAATAACTCGCCGTCGCCTACCGCTGTATCAAGGCAGTGCTGCTATCCTCCTAGACAAGACTAATGGCAATTTGCCAATCTCGGAGGAATGGAAAGCTTGGTGGGCGATGAGTGTAGGAATCGATTCCACGTGTGTGCTGCAGGGCGCCTCCGACCACTGCGCCACACGCGCCCTTAGCTAGAAATATATACGTGCATAAAAGTTTTCCATATTTGTTTTATCAACAGGTAAAGAAAAAAATGGAGCAGATGTAGAGGATGAAGAGGAATATTTAAGTAAAGCTATCTCATAACTTGAAATCCGTAGGCTTTTTACACTACAAAGCCCATTTTTCTCATCGTCCTTCGCATCTCAATGCGGCGGTGTCTCTGACTTCATGTGGTGGGAGACGTCTTATATTACTACTTCCCATCTTATTCGTAGAGAAGATGGCAACTGATAGATGTCGCCGATGATTTTTTCGTTTTGTTGCGAAAAGTTAGTTCAATCCAATCGCTTCTACATCTTATTTGGGTGTTTGAGAGAATAAACTCCTATAAGATCCTAAGATCTATTAGGTTTTACAACTGTGATGAAAACTATAAATTTTTATCAATTAGTTAACAAGGTTTGTTGCTTTGCGATGTATTAAGATTACAAAAGAGGAAACACTGAGTACACTCGTGAAATGCCGTTGAGATGAATCGAAGGCTATTACCGCTGTCTAAAGATCCCGATCTAATGAGGTGCTTTCGGTCATAATTAACGAATTGTGGTGCTTTTATCGGATGGATCATTTAGGATTACTGTCATATTTTCTTTTCTATCCTTTCTTTTGTAAAAAAAAAATGAGTAACTCCCATGTCCGACTTTCTATTAACCTCGGCATTGATTGAGTGGAATAGCACCTCGTGTTTGCTGAACACAAGCGGAAAGAAAAGAATGAGTATTAAAACAAATGGTCAAGGTGGACATTGTATAGGCAACGATAGAAACTATTTTATAAAGTTTCTGTGATATATTGTAAAGAATTATACTCGCAATTCAAGTCACCTATCCAGTTTAGAGGTTATTACAGTCGTCCAGATACAGCTGTTCCTCGTGTTTGCACAGATGTAGCATTTCGGCTGCTCGTTGGGGAAATGTATGCTACGACACAGTACTGTGTTCGTTCTAATAAGATAATAATATAGCATGATTTGCATCATTGGTTGTGAAGAAATATCTGGTGAAAAAGCTTTATTTTTTAGCGGAATCTAAATGGCACTAAATACTGACAAGCCGGCTTTCTTCTTCGTCACAGATTTCCGTGTCAAATGCACCACTTAGTACCGCAGCACTAAGTTCACCATCATCGACACCCATTGCACGCCTTCGCTTCCTGGAAAATTGTAGGAAGTACGAAAAAGTTAGGTGAAAGGAGAAGATATGGTAAAATAAATCGATTATCTTCAAATCGACGGGATTTTAAGCTGTCTTTCTCGATGGTGAAAAAATTTTGCACCTGTCATGCCTTCTTCAGAAGGACAAGGAAAACGATGAAAAGTTCTTAAACAGAAATGGCACAAGATCCGAAATATAACGAAATGTAGGCTATAGATCTAAGTGAAGTGAATACCTTACAATTAAAATAAAAACAACACACAACCTTCGCATTCGTTCCTTGTATAGTTGAAAACATTTAGTGACGATAAAGCATCCTGTGAATAAAATTACACCACCGGATAGAAAAGTCACCACGGCGAACACTACCGACTCGAGGTCCTGGCCGAATGAGCGTATCACACGTCCGGACGCTTAAATTTAAACACTGACTACTTCACGATCTCTAACATAATTTAGGATTTATTTTTATCTAACAAAGTTTCCACAAGACGAGTTCTATGTAACTTATACTTGGTTAAACATAACATCGCTTTCCAATTTTATTCAATTATATTTCATTCCGTAGGAAAGTTAACGGGCGAAATAGAAATCAGTGAAGATTTGTATGAAATGCTGAGATATTTGCAAAACTCCGGACCACAGGTGTATGCAGTGGGGAACGAACACGCGCTGTTGTCCTTACCGGGGAGCAGCGCACTTCACCACTACACCAACCGGGTCCTTCGTTTTGCCTGTCTCTCAGCTATTTCTATCGATCTTTGCCACAGCAATCACCCGTCAGCGGGATTGCGTTAATAATAATAATGTTTCCAATCCGTATATAATGTTGAGATATTTGCAAAACTCCGGACCGCAAGTGTATGCGGTGGGGAACGAACTCGCTCTGTTGTCCTGCTATTAAAAAGAGAAAGGCAATAAATAAAAGGGTTGAGATTGTGATTATAAATAAGCCTCAGCTTAACTGGGTTCAATGCCGATTTGGGCTCCCCAGATCAATCCCGTTGACGGGTGATTGCTGATGGCAAAAAGATCAATAGAACTAGCTGAGAGGCAGGCAAAACGAAGGACCCGGTTGGTGTAGTGGTGAAGTGCGCTGCTCCCCGGTAAGGACAACAGCGCGTGTTCGTTCCCCACTGCGTACACCTGTGGTCCGGAGTTTTGCAAATGTCTCAGCATTTTTTCATACGAGTTATATTTCGCAATATACCCTGCCATTAAAAAGAAAAAGGCAGTAAATAAAAGAGTTAAGATCAGTGAGGATTACTTTTTATCTTATCAGTATCAAAGTTTGATGAACCATATTTTTCTTCTTCTTTTGTCAACGTGTCAATGTTCATGGTTTGGGATGTCGGGCTCACGCTTAGAAAGTTTAAAAACATTAGTTTCGCACAATTTTTAAAAATTTCGGGGATTTAATAGACGCCAAAAAAATCGTTTTAAAAAGTTATTTACAAATCCTGTCAGTAGCCCGTATTTTCTTTTATTAGCCTTGGTCAGTTGTCGAGAAAATATTGGCAGTTGTCGAAAAACACGTACGTTGATAAGCATAAATAAAATGAACGTCATTCTAGGTTTGAAGTGAGGCATCCTTTTTCCTTTATTTTCTTTTTTCTTCTTCATTCTTTCGCCTTTCACCTATCCTTGCGATTACCGTCTAGTAAATCGTAAAAGTGGCTCCAATAAAATCTCCACTTGCTTCTGCCCTGTATAAGGTAAGCGTAGCAATTTCCATTCCTTCTAGAGACTTTCTAAAAATCCTCCTTTTCCTGGATTTTCCTGAAGAATTTTGGCCATAGTCTCATCATTTTTCTTCCCGTGCCGTTGACGTGCAGGTAGGACCTAGTCACTGATGGCTCCCAAACATTCGTCATCGGTTAGACGCAGCGTGTATAGGAACAACTTGACTCCCAAGGATTTTACGTACGTAATGGTCTCTCTAAACATTTATCGCTGACCTAGGACGAACATCGGATTTCCGAAAAGCGCGGATAGAAAATTTTTGAAGGCCCAATGGTCGAGTCGAAAAGTTGAGCCAAGAATTGAGCGCTCTTTGTACTCCTCACCATATCCTCGGTGCTCTTTAATGTTCCCCTAACCACTCGATTCTTCCCTATCAGTTCGAAAGCTACATCATTCACTGTTCTCACTTTTCGGACACGATACAAAGCTGTGGAATTCGGGATCTTTAATCCGTTGAGCGTGAAGGAACATCATAAACGAATGCATTTCTCATAGATGCGGTCTTCTTCAGAAATAGTGAAAGAGCAGTAGTCATTTCACACATTTTGTCGAAATCGAGCAACGACACGATCAGCATGCTGTAGATGTTGAAATTGCTAACCATCGGTATTCACTTCATTGTTGCCCTATTTCAAATTTTGCATGAAGTTTTCAAGGAATGATATGAAAAATTTTTTACGTCGCAATGTCGCCTTGTCGAGCGTAATGTCGCCTCCCTTTTTCCGCAGGTGTTAATTTGAGCCCTGAAAGGCGATATTTTACCTTCAGTGATGCTGAGATATTTGCAAAACTCCGAACCGCAGTTGTCTACGGTAAGGAACGAACGCGCTATTGTCCTTTACGGGGATTAACGTGTTCACCACGACACAATGCGGGTCCTTCGTTTCGCTTGTCTCTCATCTAGTTCTATCGATCAGTACCGTCAGCAATCATCTGTGGGTTGGATTGGTATGGGAAACCTAAATCGGCGGCGAACCCAGTTAAGCCGAGGCTGTAGTTATAATCACAATTTTAACTTATTATTTCCTGCCTACTCATTTTAATGGCAGAGCATATTGCGAAATATAACTTCAATGATACTCTTTTAAGCAGTAAATAATAAGTTAAAATTGTGATCATAACTAAAGCCTCAGCTTAACTGGGTTCATTGCCGATTTGGGCTCACCAGGTCAATCCCGCTGACGAGTGATTGTTGATGGCAGAGATCGTAGAACTAACAGAGAGACAAGCGAAACGAAATACCCGCATGGTGCGGTGGTGTACACGTTACTCCCCAGAAAGGACAGGAGCGCGTTCGTTCCCCAACGTAGGCACCTGCGGTCCAGAGTTTTGCAAATATTTCAGCATGATTGAAGTTATAATTCCCAATATACCCTGTCATTAAAAAGAGTAGACAGTAAACAATAATTATACTTTAGTTGTGCAAGTAACATAGCGCCCACGAAGAATGTCCATTCATCGAGTAGCAACGTGGTGGCTTTCCATAGCTGACACAACTGCTTTTACTTCGACTGAGTCGAATGCCTTCATTAAGTCGATGAACGTTGTGTAGAGCGGTTTCTAGTACTTCTACGGTGCTCCAATGAGTCTCTTTACCGTGTCGATATGTTTGTCGTAAATGAAGAAACGTTTTCGAGAGCATGTATGTCATATGGCTGTCCTTCGACCAATATTCTGCCAATCCTGTTTAGGATGACTCGAGTGAAAAGTTCGCAGATGACAGACAGCAAGCAGATTGGGCGATAGTTGCCAGTATCGTGGAGGTTACCCTTCTTGAACAATAGCACGATATAACTGGTCTCCTACTGACTAGGAACGTATCATTCCGACATGTAACGCGTGAGGAGCTCAACCACTGTGTTTATGAGGACTGACGAAAGGTTTTTCAGGTGTTTAGATCATATCTTGTCCCGACCTGGTGTCGTTCGATTCTTCACCGACGAGAAAACACGTCGGATTTTGGAAGGGAGAACCGGTAGAGGGACGTATCCAACCTTCTTTGTTGCATATGAATGAAGAAGTACGTGGCTATTAAAGAGATTCCAGTAGTAATCGCGAGTGATTCTTTCCATTGCTATTCTGGAAACTGTAACTGTTCCAATTGGGCTTCGGAGTGGTTTTGTAGTTTGTGTCTTTTTTGTCTTGCATTTTTTCACTTTAGTCTCATATTTCAATTTCGCTTTCATTTTTATTTTTCGGTTTTTCGTTTTGGTTTTTTAATTGTCAAATTTCAGAGCGGTTTGCGAATTCTTTTCCCACCTTCAGCAGGTTCGGCCGTAGCTGCTCCTCTTCTTTCTTTAATATCTTTTGTCTGTCTCTAATATCATCTGTCTGCTCTGTCCTACTAGTTTGGACGTCAATGGGCTGCTGCCTGTTATTCGCGCGATTCCATGTTGGCGTTTTCTCCTAGGTGATTTTTGGAGACGGGGATTTCTTGGTGATTTCCGAATTCTCGGCTCTCATTGCGCTAACGTATCAGTGGTGAATAAGCCAGTCTCATTCTTTGTCGATGTTGTTGACAACGGCATAATCCAAAAAGCCGACTGACGTTCTAAGTACATTCCAATTTATTATGCTTTTGAGATTTAGTTTCTTTAACTTTGCGGATTGTTCACCTTTCCACGAGAAGACGAATCCTGTGCGAAAAACACGATGGTCCAATGGCGTATAGAAAAATTTTTTGACGACAGAGCCATCGGTTAGAGAAAGTTAGACGTTCTCGTAGCTATAATCTTATTTACTTGGATGCTTGAATGGCCCGTCATCACTGGATGTGGCACCCCAGCATATTTCCAACTTTTGCGAAGTTTTGCTTGTTGAGCAATTGTGGTTCCCCGGAATCCCGAGGTCAGCCTAGCCAATGTCTGTCTCATGTGATCACCACCACAAGCAGTCACCCTCCTTGTGGATCATAGAGAGATCTTCCATCATACGACTGGTTTGATACAAGGCGGTGGTGGATCCTGGGATTGCTATTGGTTTACTCTTAGCTTGGGGTTCCTGATGGAAACGCCGGACTCCTACTCAGCTTGAGAGACCTGCTAGAGGGATGAATCACCTCACTTACATCGCAGTCTCACAACCAGGAGCGTCTCCCAGACACGATGAGGCGGTAAATCGTAGAGAGATCATTACAACCTTGACGTTGAAATCGTCAAGTATGACGTTATAAACTTAAGGAGGTACGGTACCTTCCGAAACCTTCCCTGATCCATAGAAAACGCTTCAAATTCGTATTCGTCGTATCATAATGCTACGCTGTGCATGACAAAGCTTATCAGTCTCGGTATTTTTTAACATTTCTTCACATTTAAACATCCGATTCTTTTTGTTAGTTGCTAAGTGGTCTTCACCTTTATGGCCACACATATATTGACGTCTCAGTTCCTCATCGATATCATGAACATCAAAAATCTTTATCGGCTTTATCTGCTCACCTTTCTCAGTCCAATCACGACGTGCATAATATGCTTAAATTAACTCTTTAGGATCTTAGCGAAAGATTCAAAGCAAGTGAAAGTGCAGTGCAGGAATGGACCGTTATCCTAATGCTTCCAGGAATAGGCAACCTCGAATGGTGTTAAGAAGAGCTCCTCCGCACTCCTACCTACCTTGTCAAGAGCTCCTCCAAGGCGACGTAAACGAGGCTCATTCATTTCACTGCGTTTGAGCACTGATACCAGCGCATAATTTGACTAGCTAGCTAGCTAAGCGAAGGCGAAACGAAGGGCCTGCATGGTGTGGCGGTGAATGCGCTAACCTCCGAAAAGGTAATAGCTCGTTCGTTCCCCACTGCAAACACCTGCTGTACGGAATTTTGCAAATATCTCAGCATCATTGTGTTTGTATCACACGCAGCACCCTGCCATGAAAAATTGTAATAGGCATTAAATAGAAGTGAACATTGTGATTTCAACTACTTTTAATTCGCGTTTTGTCTCCTGTCGAGCACCTGCAGACGGCCCACTCATCTGAGCGACTAACTGGCAGGGGATAAATTCAGTGAGGACGGCGAAGAAATGAACTGGTCGGTTTATAACCTCTGTGTAAAACATTCCTCCTAAAGAGTTTAATGCTTCATCGTGGCTGGGAGGTTTTCCTGGGTGCAGAGCTGCGATGTACAGTGGGGCGATTCATCCATCTGGTAGGGTCTCCCAAGCTGAGAAGAAGCCCGGCGTTTCCATCAGGAAGCCTAGCTCCACTCCAGCCTAGTAAACCAATACCTGAATCCACCAAAGTCCTGTTATCAAACTAGTCGCATGGTGGCAAATCTCCCTCTGATCCACAAGGACTGCGACTGCCTGTGGTGGTGAAGAACTTGGGCAGACTTTGGCCACACCGACCTCGGGATTCCGGGGAACAACAATGCCTTAACCAGCAAATCTCCAAAAAATGGGGCCCGCACAACTAATGAGAACGAGCTGTTCAAGTACCAATTAAATAAGTGTAAAACATTATATGCTCAACTGATCAGTGGATGTCCAGCTAGAATATCATTAAACAATCCAAAGTTCACGTCCATTTAAAATCTGAATTAATTAGTTTTGGAAAGCATTTATTTCGAATACTTAACATATTTACATGCCACGATTTACCGATTTCACCAATATAAATAGTCTAATCGACAAATTTTGATGTTTTCATCCTATTTCAGGCCAGTAAAAAAAGAAGGGTAAAGCTCTCGGCGTTGATTCATCAAGCATCGTCTTGAGGTGATTTAATTCATATCTCGTCATCACAATGGCTCGCGATGGCCTACCGATGTATCCAACCAGTGCTGCTATCCTCCCAGACAAGTCTGGTACCAATTTCCCGACCCCGGAGGGTTAGAAGGCCTGGTCAGCCATGAGCGCTGGGATCGATTCCACGTATATGTCTCAGTGGCGCCTCCAACCACTGCTCCACATACCCCTTAAGGCCAATCTGGGGTCTAAAGTAGCCAATAAATTTTAATTTGCAAGAGAGTATGCCAACGGATCTCCCTCATATAAGGGATCTCGAACCGGTTAGACACGAGGCTACGTGGCGTGCCCACAGATGGTGGCGGATAGAAGGTTAATCCCAGACCGAAACGACCTTTGCTTCCCTAAGACGCAGGTGATTCAGGAGATGGACTTCCTGTTACTGCTGCGAAGATTTGGCACATACTTTCTGTATTTACGAGGCGTATTCATACACGTGTGTATAGATGCGTTCAAGTTTATGCGAATTCTGTTGTACGAGTCAATTCGGCCAAAAGTCTGCAATCAAGGTACAGGGAAGAATATGGGAGGCGGTTAAGGGCCGCTTCCAACAAATAAGCTCCATATCCACACTGGGTGTGACTAGCAAGCTACCCGTGAGTATACCCAGCCCTCATGTTTAGAGCCCAGCAGGCATACGTGGGTATCAAAAAGCTAAAAACAGTAAAAGAAACAGACCTCATTCCCCTGAACCTGAAAGAGTCCCCGATTCAACAGCGTTGGGTAACGAACATGGAGAGGCTGCCAAAATCCCAGAACCTTTCTAAGCTGCCTAAACCGCAAAAAACTTAGGTGACGATCTGTAAAATGCACGCACACTTGCATCCGAGTCCCCCACAAAAGAGTTGATAATGCAAGTATGAAGGATAAGGCACGACGTCATTGGCCTAGCCGATACGAGATGACGCTGCCCACTCAACGCCGTCTATGACACTGGAGGAGAACGGTTCTTCGGAACATGCGAGAGCAGAAATATCAGTGGCGTCGGCGCTCTCATCAACACGTGTTTGTCCATGAACATCGATTCATTTAAACAACTTGCAACCCGAATCGGACGTTTACGATTACACAGATGTGGATTAACACCGGCTTTGACAATCTTCGCCGTTTACGCGCCGACATCAACCTATGACGAAGAAGAAGTCGGAGCGTTCTATATGGACATGGAAAAGTTCTACAGAGTAGACCACACATTCTTCAAGGTCATCATTGAAAATTTCAACATCAAGAATGGGCGGAGGAAGAACGTCTGAAGAACGTCACATTGGGACCCACGGATTGGAATGGAACGAACAGGGTGAGTGGCTGTCTGAGTTTATCATGGCGACCAAGGCAATCCATGGTAACTCACAATTCCACACACCTGAACACTTGAAGCACCTTCCGCCTGCTCTCGCAAACATACTAGCTTGGCTTTTCACACGCTACCTGACCGAATGCAAAGTCTCTGCACAGTGGAAGACCAGCAAGACCGTACTATTGTTCAAGAAGGGTGACCTACACGATATCGGAAACTGTCGCCTATTCTGCTTGCTATCTGTCGTCTACAACCTTTTCACTCGAGTTGTCCTAAGCAGGTTAGACAGAACAGTGGACGAAGGACAGCCATATAAGCAAGCAGGGTTTCCAAGAGGATTTAGTGCGATGGACCACATCCACACGGTAACACGGCTCATTGAAGTATCGCGAGAGTACAAAAGACCGCTCTGTCTCACTTTTATCGATTTACAGAAGGCCTTTGATTCAGTTGAGATGGAAGCAGTCTTGGAAGTCCTTGATAGTCAAGAAGTCCTTACTCAGTACATAAGGATTCTTCGTGAGCTGAACAAAAAATTCACAGCTAAGACATCACCATTCTACAACGATATTAGCAACAAGGGCAAAGGAGGGGTTAGCAAGGCGATACCATTTCTCTACCTTCGTTTTGCTGATGATATACTTCATATAACAGCAAATATTAGCAAAGCGAAACTAATGTTTGCCCATTTTGATAAAGCTTGTGAGAAGATTGGTCTTCGACTAAACCTCACAAAAACGATGCTCATGAGGAACGTATTGGCTCCGTATGCTCCATTCACGCTCAATGGAACGAATATCTCCGATTGCTCCAGCCATGTCTATCTAGGTCGGGAAATCGACATGTTGAACGACTTAGCCCAAGAGTTGAGTAGAAGGAAATGAGCGGCTTGGGGAGCTTTGAAGAGTATCAAGGATGTAGTGAGGAGAACAAAGAACACCCAACGCTGTGTCCACCTTTTCGACTCAACGGCTGGAGCAATCGGAGATATTCGTTCATGCGCTAACGCATGCGTAAGTAACCTAGTCGCTGCGTAAGCAGAATGAAAGATGACTCAGCGTATTTGAACGCGCAGTCGAAAAGACGATGCTAAGAGCATCCCATTTCACATAAGCAAGGGATGCGATCCCAAGCTCCGACCTGTGTCAACGACCAAAAATGAAAGGTATTGTTCTGTATGCCAAGCAGCCGAAGATGAGGTGGGCCAGACAGGTAACGCGTATAGACGATAGCCGATGGACAAGAGCCGTTACAGACTGGATTCCTCGGGATGTTAAACGCATTACAGGAACACCACCGACCCGATGGTCAGAGTTCTTCATGAAAGGCCTAAAAGAAAGACATGATGCTCGACGAGTCCCTAGAGCGAGCAGAACCCACTGGGCTATTCTTGCACGCGACAAGGAAAAATGGAAGGTTTACTGGAGCCCGCTCGAGCCACTCGACGATCAACGGGACTACATCAATCAATTCCTGAACGATGAGCTATTCTTTCGACTTCACCGGTAGAGGTGACTGAATGCATATCTTGCCTATGTAATGATGTGTTTCGGCCTACAGATGTGTCCAATAAGTGCCGTTATCCTTCTAGGCGGATCTGGTACCAGTTTGACGACCCAGAAATGATAAAATGCTTTATGAGCTTAGGGCGTGGGATCGAATCTACAACTCATGTGTGCATTGTAGGGCGCCTCTACTCTCTGAGCTACACGAGCCAAAGATACGTTTAGTAACATACCTTATTGCCGTGATCTGAACGCTGAGAAATTTATTAGTAGACTTAAATTATATTGATCATCAATAAACTCCTCATATCACTTGCATATACTAATCGACTCAAATTAATAGATGTGTATTCTTTCATTGATAAAGTAAAAGAGTGATAAAAAAGGCCAATTTGGCCGAAGGTTCAATGTCTTCGGATGAGCCAATGGTCCAAGGCGATGATCCACATTGCTTCGCAAATCTCGATGTGCTGCCTTCGTCGTCGCATCGAGTCGAATCCTCTTCAGAGAAGTACTGCTCGAATGGGATAACCTCACCCGGCAATAACACAGTACTCTCACCCTCCATTTAATAGTGAAAGATTGTATATTGATCAGCCACGCCAAGATTAAGGGACTTTTTTTTTTCAAATAACAAATAGTAGAGTTTACTGTAAGAAGACATATGCTTGATTAATCCTCAAATGACAATCATTTTGGGCAAAGTATGTGCTTGAACTAATGCACGCGGTTATGAAAGTATAAAGAATTCCACAAATGGACTTAATGTTCAGAGAAAAAATCCAACAAGCTAACACCTATCTGCGTCAAACACTAACCAGCTGTTCTTTACAACGCAATCGCTTAGATTATCGTCATAATCGAAATTAATGGACCTTAACTAATATTTATACTACCACTCAAGCGGAAAACTACGCGCAATAGAAAAAAAACGGATTAAAAGTGAAATATGAGATTGGAAGTTGGTGAGGATATAAAAGGATAAAGGATAAAGCTCTGGGCGTTGATCAATCCCTGAGGGGCACTTTGCATTCGACTTCATTATGCATCGTTTGGAGGTGATTAAATGCATATCTGTCCTCTACAATGACTTGAGGTGGCCGACCGATGTATCGAGCCAGTGTTAATATCCTCCCAGACAAATCTAGTACCAATTTGGCAACACCGGAGGGATGAAAGACTTGGTGGACTATGGGCGCTGGGATTGATTCCACGTGTGTGTTGCAGGGCGCCTCAGAACACCTCACCACAAGCATCGTTTTAATGGATGAGGTTATATATGATATAATTTATATTTGTCTTATACAAAGACCATAAGGATACTTACAGAACTTTTGCTGCTTTTTTTTAAACAACTGGGCGAAAGAAATTCTCCTTTCCAATTATATTAGTCCAAGCTTACTAATATCTTTCACCTACATAACAGGCGCAATTACGATTGGAAGGGCATCACATGAATTCGGCGTATGTCAAGCCTTTCTACTTATGTCTTTTGATTATAAGACGAGAACTGCTTGAAACACTGTAAGTACTGGTCATTTCATCTCAGTTATTTCGTAAAAGATCTCATTTTACACAATGATAATTTCGTAAGCATAGCTTTAGTCTCGCTGTATTGGTATAGAAAGGCGTATCGTTTGTAGCATTCTTGATAACTTTGGATATTTTCACTTAAAAAAGAAACCTAAAAATTATTAAACGACCAAGACTTGTCTATCGAGGCTTCTAAGAAAATCGACTAACAGATTTCGACCACACACTTTTCGGTCTCTTAATCAATTTAGTTGAATTTGAAATAGGAATAAGCAGAAAAATTAAAACGGACTCGGTTTTGTTTCCATGTGCCAGCTCATTGTTCGATGGCAGTGTTTTGCTTCAACGTCAGGCTATTCATGGAACTAAAATTTTTATCACATTTCAATGATAAAACAAGAGGAAACAAAAAAAAACTGGTAGCAGAAAGCTCTTAGCAATACTATAGCGCAAGGTAAAATTCGTAGCTGCGAAGCAGTGAAATGACAATCTAGAAAAAAAAGAAAGAAAAAACGCAACAGAGATCAAGCAAAAAGAGATGTAGGCAGAGTGAGAGAAACAGACAGGCACGAAGAGAGGAAGAGAGGGGAGGGGAGATAAATGAGAAAGAAAGAGAAAGAAAAAATATCTGAGAGTATACACCGATGTTTTATTGCAAAAAAAGTAAACAGTATTTTAACATTTGCATCAAAAACAATTTGAAGTACTGGAAAATGTTTTTTGGCATATTTCCACTGTAGTGATTTTTCCTCCAAGTATCAGCACACTAGTGATTTCCAATATTTCTTTAATTCTGAAATAATGGCTGTATTTTAGAATCCCTTTTGATTGCAGCGCCTTAAAAACGCACCATCGAGATTTTCTCGGTTTTTGTTCAATTAACTAATTTTCATTCTTAATATGTAAAAGCAAGGGTGATCGCTCCGGGTGACCACTGAGTGATGTGTGCCAGTAAAGAAATGATTTGTTCACGTTGTATCGAAGAAAATAGTCCAATGTATTCTGCTCTCTCGAAACACACCAAGAATAGTGCATTTGTCGTCTAGGAGCTCTAAAAAATCTAACCATTAGAACAACGGCTTTCCTACTTTGCTCATGTCATCCTATGCGATAAGGGTAATCATTAGCGGCTTACGTGCAACGCTTGCCGCTGACTTAAACGATATTTCCGACTGACTTCATTCTCAATAATCGAGCATGGACAACACCACTGATCCTTGGTCGTTGACTTGAGTTAGAGCGTTGGAACCTCACTCTCACATATTTGACAGGGTGTGGTTCAAGGGTCACTTTATTGAGAACGTGTCCGATAACATTAAGTGACTTTTCAACATACTTGTGTAACACTTTACTTCGCGATAAGTCTTAAAGCAAGGAGAATCGCACAGCAGAAAATATAGACACATCTTTTGCCTTCTTCATTACACCATCCATGTTTTTGTAGATGTCTCGTCTTCTTGTGCTCAAATATGGAGTTAATACATCTACCATGCTGATTTTCCCATTCGGATATCTGTAGCTAAATGCAATTGACGAAATTGATTGGACGTAAATGGATTGGTATGGATTCATTTCTCATGAATATCGTTTTTATTTTTATGAGATCCAACCAAAGACTAAGCCTTTTGCATGAACTGTTAAGACCAGCCACCACTATACATATATATGTACATATATATATATGCATGCATATGCGTGTATACATATGTAAGTATATATGTATAACTCGTATATAATGCTGAGATATTTGCAAAACTCCGGACCGCAGGTGTATGCGGTGGGGAACAAACACGTGCTGTTGTCCTAACCGGGGAGCAGCGCAATTTGACCCGGATGGTGTGGTGGTGAAGTGCGCTGATCCCCGGTAAGGACAACAGCACGTGTTCGTTCCCCACCGCATACACCTGCGCTCCGGAGTTTTGCAAATATCTCAGCATTATATACGAGTTATACTTCGCAATATACCCTGCCATTAAATAGAAAAAGGCAGTAAATAAGAGGGTTAAGATTATATATGTACATATACATATATATGTATAAATATATACATGTACATGGGTATATATAATTCAGTCTTCTTAATTAGCAAACAGAAAGGTGTTACTTTATTCTTTGCTCACACAAAAGAATATATATATACATACTTTTAATAATCTTCTATATCACTTACAGTCCTACTAGCAATTGAATAACTCGAGTATGCAACAGTAAAGTTTCGTTGCATACCAGTGTTTCTCTGGCGTAGTGGTCGGAGGTGCCCTGTAACAAACAAGTGGAATCATTCCCTGCGCCCATGACCCACCAAACCTTCCATCTCTCCGGGGTCGGCAAATTGGTACTAGACTTGTCTGGGTTGATAGCAGCACTGGCTCGATACATCGGAACACCACCGCGAGTTACTGTAAAGGCCAGATATGCATCCAATCACCACCAAACGATGCTTAATGAAGCCGCATGCATGGTGCATCCCTTAGGGATTGATCAACGCCAAGGTGTTTATCTTTTTATTTTTACCAAAATTTCCAAGTAGACCACGTTTCTCTCGAAGAACATCGAGTATCATGCCATTTCCAAACAGAATAACCTGGCATTAGCAATTATTCTTATTTTTCATTTCAATCTTGACATATCTATCATTTCCCATTTTGTATTAAAAAAGAAAAAAAACGAAAATCACAATGAATAGCACTTACCCACATCACTTTTGGTATCGTTACCTTAAATTTTCCATAGAGCATAAAATGGAAATAGCGAAAACGCTAGGAGCTAAAAATGAAACACAAACGATTTCACCGTGCATCCTGGATTTTTGGCAAGCTTGTTCGAGTGCAGCAATTCCAAAGGAA